ATTATTTTTTATTTTATAGATAGTAGATTTAAATTATCATCATTTTAACCTTTACGCGAAAGAACGAGAAAGCCAATATATTGATTCTGAAACGCATTTTGAAGCAAGAACTTCAATGAATACACGGAAAGAACGAATTTGTTGAAAAGTCTACAAATTTTACTAAATACAGATCTGAAAATAATTCTTGTTTAATCATCAAAATAATTGGCTGGAAAGTTAAAAATTATAAGCATTGCTATAAAACGTTTTGATATTCTAGCAATCATAATTGTGACTTTCCAACAAAATTATTTTGATTATTGAACAAAAATTATTTTCAAATCTGGATCCAGCAAAATTGTTCTTTCCGTGTTATTATAATAAATTCTACTTAAGGAAAAGCTGTTTAGAAAAAGAATTCTCCTTTTGTAAAAGTTAAATGTAGATCACATTAAAATTAATTATATAATTACTATTTACATTTAATTAATTGCGCTATCGGAAATAGAAAAAAAAACCAAGTTTGTATTTTTTTCAATTAAATAAAACACGTTTTTTTCTCATGTTTTTTCTATTAGAAAAAAAACATTTTTTTTACATCTCTAGTCGAGCGTGAAAAAAAAAGTCCGAGACCTCGCGAGAAACGATGGATCGCGGTCGATCGAATTGAGGCGCGCAATGTAAGCATAGGTATGCATGTAATGTGAGAGGTCGACGAATCTTACGGCCGACGCGAAAGACTGGTACGTACCTTCGGGGCATCACCACGACCGGAAGTAGTTCGTTTCCCACGTTTTGCACTCTGGCGAGGGAAGGTCGCTTCTCGCGCGCGAGGGGGAAAACTTCGTGTGTGCACCTCGAAAACCACCGCCGCGCACCGCGTCGTCCGCAATTACGGTGTACTTCGCCGTATGGCGGAGTGGACGATTAAACTCCGACAGGGTGAAATAAAGCGTAAGAACGAGAAACTCCCGTCCTCGCGTCCTTATACATGACTCGTCCTCGACTCGACCGCGGGCGCGAGTCGCGACGTGTCTGCAGGTCGAGTTAAAGTTGCTACGCAAGGGACAAGAAGACGTCCACGCGAAATTACTTCCAGTAATCGTTCGATGTCGTTCATCGTGATTACTATCATCCATCGCTTTCCTCGATCCCGATGTTTTACCGAGTCCGTATAACAAAATTACCTCGAAATAATCACCTGGAAGAAGCAAATAAATTGCCTTGTTTTCGTTCATTCTAATAAAATGAAAGATTCATCCTTGTCAGCAGGACTGGGCATATTTCAAATACTTGTATTTGAAATACAGGTTGTATTTTGTATTTTTTAGCGGAGCACATAAAAGTATTTTGTATTTCGAATCGAAAGATTGAAGATATTTTATATTTTGTAATTGAAATACTAAGATACCCAGTATTTTGTATTTTATATTTCAAATACTTTAATGATGTATTTTGCCCAGCCCTGCTTATTATTTTAATAAATTGATTTAATTTATTGAAATAATAAAGCGATAATCACATCATCGATTTTAACTGTAAATCGACGAGTCCCAGTAAACGAGAATGAATTAAAATAGATTTAAAAAAAATTAATTTCAACATTCGCAAATGTGCACTTCTGAAAATCTGAATCCATTTCAAAGCCCAATGCCTTTGTATTCATTTATAGAAATTGCATGAATCACATTTTCCATGCCATTCAATTAAAAGAAATTCGGCTTTTAAAAATAAATCGTGAATGCTGATTAATTCAAAAATCTAGGTAGGAAATGCTGTTTTTTTTTCAATCTAATTAAATTCAAAAAAAGTTTTTCGCGAAAATGGACCATGAATGTTATTTCATTTAAATCCAAAAAAAAATATTTTTCTTTATTTAGATGGATTGAAACAATACATTTTCTAGTCACAATTAATATAATATAATAATATAATATTAATATTATATCAAAAATATTATATTATATTCGTATTATGAAATAAAAAAGCATTCATTTCCACGGAGGCCAATCCATTTCAATTCACGAATTAAAAAATTTTAATCTATTTTAACACTTCCCGTTTACTGGGGTCTCATCGGCTAGTATCGAAGCAATTTTTCCTTGGCAAAAAATTCGAGATCGACGTATCTTTTCTAAAGATGTAAATAGAAAAAAAACCAAATTGTTTTTTTTTCTCATAAAATACTTTTTTTTTTTTTAGAAAAAAAACATAAGCCTCGTTTTTTCTCAAAATTTTGTTTTTTTTCAGCTACCTATTTAATGCCTATATTTTGCTTAATATAAGTTAATTTTTTATTATTTTTTATTTTATAGATAGTAGATTTAAATTATCATCATTTTAACTTTTACGCAGAACGAGAAAGCCAATATATTGATTCTAAAATGCATTTTGAAGCAAGGACTTCAATGAATAATTATAATAAATTCTACTTAAGGAACAGCTGTTTAGAAAAAGAATTCGAAAGATTCTCCTTTTGTAAAAGTTAAATGTAGATCACATTAAAATTAATTATATCATTACTATTTACAATTAATTAATTGTGCTATCTGAATTAGAAAAAAAGCCAAATTTGTATTTTTTCAATGAAATAAAACACGTTTTTTTTCTAACGTTTTTTCTATTAGAAAAAAAACGTTTTTTTTTTACATCTCTAATCTTTTTCCCAGGTGGATCCCGGTGTGCTAAATTCGCGAAGGACTCGCAAAGACAGATGACGATGGGACACGCGTTAGGGAGAGGACAGCACGGACCGCAGGATCGCGCGGATTAAGTGTGCGTCGCCATGGCGAGGTGGAGATGGATGCTGCTGATCCTGGCGACCGTCTGGACGCTGGGCGATGGCTACCTGGCGGTACTGCCGTCCAGCACGCCCGTCGGCACCGTCGTCTTCGAGGCCGGGGTGCCGCAGCTGGGCGGTCGTCGCAAGTACGAGGCGTCCAGCGAGCGTACCGCCTGGTTCGCTCGGAAGCTCCTCAAGGTCCATCCGCACACGGGCCGCGTGACCCTGGCGAGGACGCTCAGCTGCGACGGCCTCCAGTATCCGCGGGTCTTCACCTTCTACGTCGACTCGACGAGCTCCCGCCTCGGTAGACCCACCATCGACTACTACAGTTTACCACTGAGAATCTTGATCACCGGATGCGGCGGCGAGAATCGCGACCTCGCGGCCACCAGGGGCTGGATGGCAGAGACTCTGGCCTCCTACGCGATGCCCAGCACCGACAGGTTTGAATCGAACTGTTTTAAATGTATAGATAACGAGATTAAGGGCCCTTCCTAGTCAGCCACGAACTCCGCGTTGACGGTGGCGACGTTATATCGCGGTATAGAAATTAGAAGCTTCTTGTCGTATATTAGGCCCGTCCTATAATACGTCATATATCGGTGTTTTAAGTCATAAACCGTGATAATTCTACAGAATAATTGTATGCCGATAT